GGCTGGAGCTGGTGCTGGAGCTGGCAGATTCTTTGCCTCTCTTGGCTTCACTTTTCCTGCACCGGCTCTGGCCACCTTGCAAGCGGAAGTGGGCGTTCAAAGTGGCCAGACTAGGGACACGCTTCAGACATCCACAATGAGGAAACCAAACCATGACGTACTCCTACGTGCAGCAAAGAACAACTTGCTTTCCAGCTGTCCGTCGGCCCTCACAATCAGCAAGATGAACATCAAATGGAGCCATCCCTGCTAAGCCCCAAACACTATTTCCCTTTTAAAAACAATTCAGACTCTCAACAGAAGTGCCGCGGGCTCCAGCACACAGGCAGGGGCCTTGCACTGCCTCCTCCTCTTCCTTTGGTGACAGCCAGACTCTCACAGTACCAGATGTGGGACAATACAGTCTCTCCCCCTCATCACTACCCAGAGCTGCGCCCAGGTGGCAAGGCTTGAGCAGTTAGAAGGGTCTCCATGTGACAGTCGGGTATAGGCGGAATTTGGAACCACGTGGTTTAATGCCATTCTAGGCTTGTCGGGAGCTCTAAACTCACAGATAATAGGAGAGCACAGCAGGTTGTCTGTGATGAACTAGAGCCAGTCTCCCAGGCTGGAGGGCCACCCTCCTCACCCTCCTTTACTTGCATGTCACCCCCAACCCCCTGGCACGCCACCGGGACCCTTGCACGCCTCCTCTGCAGTCCCTTGTTTCACGAGCAATGGAAGACATGATGTGGGGCTCAGTCACCTGTCACTGGCCTACACTAGGCGTGTCACAACAGCTCGGGAAGCAAGTGTGGCAGACATCAAAATCTCTTCTGGCTCCTGCGCAGCCAGGAGAATGCTGCATCTGAGTCGTCCTGGCTGCAGAGAGGCTTCCTGCTCAGTTCTTTGAGAGGGCAGGTCGTGGTTTTACCCATTGCTGGTTCTGTAGCACCTGGCCACCATAAGCGCTGAGCACTGGGATTGCATGGGTACCACTGTTGGGTCCACCCCAGGGGGTCTTTTGCTGCTTCAGCTCCAGTGCATGACTCGCCCCCCGCCCCACCCCCCAGCCCCGGTGGTGCCATATTGACCTGACCGCTCTAAGAGAGAGCATGGATTGTTCTGACAGTTTGCTTCTTTCATGTGGCTAGCTGGCAGTGTGCAAAGCCAATCAGCTCATCCTACAGTCTGTTCTTAATCACCATAGTCTCCACACTGTGTCATTTGATTCTACAGAGTGATTTCTGGATGACGCAGAAGCAGGATGTGTGAAGCTGGGGTTGGTGGGAGTATGAACATCTCCGCGCATCCCAGCCCAGCCACACTATCCTTCCTGCTGCTCCCAGACAAGGTAAGTGCTTCCTGCCTCAGGGCCTTCCACCCTTTTCCCTCTTTTAGGAATGCCATTCCCAGAACCCATCAGGCTCTCTCTCTCTTTCTTTGTCTAGGCCTCTTAAGAGTTATCTCCTTAAGAACATGCCTAAAGCAGGTTTTGCCTCCTAGGTATCAATCATCGGATAAAGATATTGATTAGCAATACCCTTGCCTGCTGTCTCTTTCCTTTACTAGCATATAATGCTCAGCCTGTGTACTCTGTCAGGCATGTGCAGCACCTATAATGGAAGATGGCACCCAGTTGCTGCTTAGTAAACACTACAGACGGTGAGATTGTATTCTGAATGTCTTATGTCCCTTTTCATGGTGCCAGAATGAACTACTGGTGGGGACCCGTCTCAGGTCCCTTCTGCTCTGAGTTTCAGCCTCAAAAGCCTCTCCTTGCTGGTTGTCTCCACTGTCATCAGTCCCTACACTACTCAACTTAGGACTTTACCATGCACATACTGCGTGCTCCCAGGATACCTGCTGTCCATGGATGGTTCCCAGGGTCTTTCTGGAAGTCCCTCCCCCAATTCCAGTTCATGATCCAGGCTGGTTGGCTCTATTTCTTCTCCTGAGCCATGACTTTTACCCAAGCTACCTACAATATTCTTCTGGACTACTGCAGCAGTCCTGTGACTGACTGGCCCTCCGACTGTTTCCTGTGCGGCCTCCATCTGTTTGGAGCACAGGAGCCAGTGTGATCCTTTACAGCACACCTCTGGTGACAGTCCTCCTATGCTAGAATCCCAGGCTCATTTCCCCTTGCTCTCAGTATAAAGATCAAAATCCTTAACATGCCATCTGCAAGGAGAGATAGTCAACCAGGATGCACTAATACAGTTGCACAGGTTGTTCACTATGGAAATGTCCCTCCCCCTCCTGGTGAGCATCAGCCCCTTTAAGCTTTTACCCTCACCACTCTGTCTCTCTCCCTCAAATCCATCCCCTCCAATGAACAACTTTGGGGTTAAAGTCTGGGGCAGCAGGCAGATGCACGTACAGAATGCACAAACATGCACACACTTGTCAGGTCCTGGGGTATGCTGTCCAGCTGCATGATGTCAAGCCCTTGTTACCGGGAAGATGCAGCTCTGTCCAGCTTTACCTCAGCTGGGTCCCTGACAGTCCGCACTCACCCATGCTGGCTGTCCCCTCATTAGCCTCAGCTCGGCTCTCAGTCCTCTATCTCTTGCTTAAGGTAAGGGACCTTAAGGCCTCTCTAACCTCTAAGTTAGGCTCCTCTCTACTCATCTACTCAGAGCATCCTAGAGGAACATCCTAGACCAATGCTTTTCAACCTTCCCAATGCTGCAACCCTTTAATTCAGCTCCTCACGTTGTGGTGACCCCCAACCATACAATTATTTTATTGCTACCCCATAACCGTAATTTTGCTACCGTTATGAATCATAATGTAAATATCTGTGTTTTTCTGATGGCCTTAGGTGAACCCTGTGAAAAGGTCATTTGACACACACACACACACAGGGGTTGCAACGCACAGGTTGAGAACCACTGTCCTAGACCTTTCCTTCAGAGCCTTAGCCATGCAGGATTCTTCAGTGATCAGCTCTCCCTGCCCACAGGAGTAAAGGAGCAGGACTAGTCTATGTCCCTGTACACAGGAAGACACGGGATGTGGGGGTGGCCCTCAAGACCCAATGATGCTGGAATAAAGGACAAAAGCGGGCATTATGGAGACATTGGTGCACGTGGGGATACATATGCACTTTGGTGTGTGTGTCTTCTTTCCTGTAAGTAGAATGGTGACAAGATCTAATAGATCTGTCCTGGGTATTCATGTCTCTTATGTAATCCAAGTTCCTCTGTGTACGAGACCTAGAGTAATTATCCTCTTTTGGCAAACACCTGAGTACTTTTTTGGGAGGGCATGTTCATATAAAGTGAAGCCTCGGTGTTTTACTGCCATCACACGCCCAACATTTCAGAGGTTTCCTAGGCCCCGACCAGAGGACAAAAGCCCGTGTCTAACTGCAAACAGCAAGTGTATGTCACAGACAGTGGGCTTTGGACTGCAGTGGGTTATCTTAGTCCCTGGAGCCTTCCATTTCCTTGGTGTGGCAGGCAGTGTCTGCTTTGAAAGGGAAGGGGCTGGTGGCAGACAAGTCTCCAGAATAAAACCTCAGACAGGATCCCTTCCATACCCACACACAGGCCCTGCACTGTCAGGGGCTGAGCCCAAGAGAAAGGATGCTGACCTTGTACCAATAATGCCTACCTGCCTTCATCTTCTGACACACAGAGCAAGACAGATAAAGACGGAAAGCTAGAGATGGCAGCTGCCCCTACAGGAGGGCCTTCAAGACAAGTCACTCCTTGATGTCCTCAAACCCTCCACTGCCACAGTCAACCAGGCCCAGCCTCTGTCACACAGCTGCCCCATGTCAGCTCAGAGGTTGCTTTGAGACAGGAGGATTAGCCCTTGGAAGGCCTCCATAGGGTCCTGATTCCACTTGAAGTTGCATGGAAGCTAGGACACAGGGAGCCTCGGGGACCCTGGGGTTTGGGGCTGCTCACTCAGTCCAGAGGATGCTTCCCGGCTGTGGAATGGAGGATGCCTGGTTTCTCTCTCAGACCCATCATCCAAGACTTCCTCCTTGTCCCCAGGCCTTAGTCCTGCCTCCTTGCTCAAAGCAATGAATTCAGCATTCTCAACTTCAAGCCAGCCTTTCCTCCCTCCACATGAGGCATCTGGCTCAGCCCCTGAGTATGTAGGAATCTGTGTGTGTGTGGCTGGGGGTCTTTCTGGGTGGGAAGTGAATATGGGGGAGTGACAGAATCCTTTTCCTCACCCAGTCTGCCAACTCAAGTCCAACTCACACACTGTTGCCACCACCACACCAAGTTCACCGCCACGGGCAGAATCACAATCATCTCCTAACCTAGCACCTGCCTTACCCTCCTTGCTCTTTGAGCTGTGGATTGAAGCCAGCACAAGGCCAACTCAACCCTAAAGGAATCTTGGCACTGGGAAAGAGAAGGTTGTATCCTACAATTTCAGCCAGGCCTGGAGGGGCAGGGAGGTGATGATTGGCAGGGCACAGAGGCTGGTGGACACTTGCATTCTGAGGGTTTGTTGCTGTTGTTGGAATCCCAAGCAAGCCTCTTTCACACCAAACATGAGGACATTGTGCTAAAGGGAAGAGGCCGGTCCCCAAGGACAAACACTATGGATTCCACTTGTAGGAGGTCCCCGAAGTGGTCAAGTTCCTAGAGGTTGAAAGTAGAGGGTTGTATCCCGAATAACTTGTTTCTCTTCCAGATGCCCAGGGACCCAAAGGACTGCTCATGGATAACGGGGATTTCCTCCATTGCTCCAGCATCAGTCTAGGGCTCCTCCTACACTCATTTTCAAAGGTTATATCTAAGGCAATAGCAGGATCCACAGCAAGAAGCTGCATTGACCTGACCTGAGCCCGAGTCCCACTGAAAGGGCAAGGCAGCCTTTCTATGGGACCTAGGCTGGAAGGATGTCAATATAGGGTGAATCTCAGCAGAAGCTCCAGAGACTTCTGAGGCTCTGAGAAGGGTCTGGCAGGGCGAGTTCCAAGGCTCTCAGGACATAGCACCAGGCAGGAACCCCTCTCCCAAGAGGATGTGCTGTCTCAGCCCACTGACCTGGTTACAGGTGTTGATATCCACTCCATTGCGCAGGTGATCCAGAGCCTTGTCCAGGTTTCCCGAGCGTGCCGCCCTCAGGAAGCTGGTAGCAGCATCGGCCTGTGGAAGAAGACAGCAGGACATGAGTGTCCCCATGTGGCAAGAATCTTACAGTCCTGTGTGGTCATCTCCTCCTACTGGGAAACCCTGGTCCATACAACATCTCCATTTGTGGTGTCAGCACCCCAGGTCTGGGTGTGCAGCTGCCTTATGGTTGTAGAATATTATTTTAAAGTGTATTACACTTGTTTATGCTGTGTTACATTTGTTTAATGATGCAAAGATGTGTTGCATTCTTTTATGTTGCATTTTTGACTCTGTGAAGCTATTTTATTTTGCCTGTCTAAAACAACTGATGGTCTAATAAAGAGCTGAATGGCCAGTAGTGAGGCAGGAGAAAGGATAGGTGGGGCTGGCAGGCAGAGAGAATAAACAGAGGAGAAATCTGGGAGGAACAAGAAGAAAGAGCAAGAGAACAAGGAGAGGAGGATGCTAGGGGCCAGCCACACAACCACACAGCCAGCCACAGAATAAGAGTGAAAGTAAGATATACAGAAGTAAAAAAAGGAAAAAGCCCAGAGGTAAAAGGTAGACAGGCTAATTTAAGTTAATAAAAGCTGCTAGAAATAAGCCAAGCTAAAGCCATGCATTTATAAGAAAGAATAAGCCTCCGTGTGTGACTTATTTGGGAACTGGGTGGTGGGCCCCCAAAGAGCCAAAAGAGCCCAAAGGGTGAAAACAACTAACTAGGCCCTATAGCTTAGGCGTCCCTCCCTTTGGGTACTTTTACACATGATCATCCTTGCAAAGACTGAGTAGAGAAAGATCCCAAACCAGTTCCAATGGCGAACACTCAACATGGCTGGGTTTGGCTGCCTCCGAGCTAGAGAGCCTTCCTTCCCGCCCCCCTCCACTGTTAGGTATTGAACCCAGGGCCTCACACATGCTAGTCAAGCACTCTGTCACTGAACTACATCCCCAGCACCCCCACACCCACCATTTTTTTCTTTTTTAATTTTGAGACAGAGCCTCATCAAGTTTCCCATGCTGGCCTCAAACTCTCTGTAACCTAGGCGTGCCTTGAACCTGTGATCTTCCTGTCTCAGCCTCCCAAGTCACTGGGACTGCAGGCAGGCTGTACCTCCAGGCCTGACTGGTTCTCTGTTCTTGCTGGGGATCAGGATATCATGCGGGCTCCAGTGCCAACAACTCGGCAACACAGGCACAGAAGCCAGCATGGGCTTTGCCTGGTGTTTTTAGAAGTAAACAACATGTGTGGATACTATTCTCCAGTTAAAAACCCTACGCGACAGATAACACTGCAGTCTCTGTTTCACACGAGAAGTCACTGGAGAATGGAGAGCTGAGGTGACGGTGCAAGGTCACAGTTGAGCTAAGAGGTACAGCTGGACTCCAAGGTAGGCAGCATGGTTCTGAAATCTTAGGCTCTTTTTTTTTTTTTGAAAGAGTTTTTTTGTATATGAGTATTTTGTTGGAAAGTATGCAAACAGAATTGGAATGATGGACAGTTGTGAGCTGCCATGTGGGTGTCAGGAACCAAACCTGGGTTCTCTGGAAAAGCAGTCAGTGCTCTGAACCTCTGGGACATCTCTCCAGTCCCAAATCCCAGGCTCTTAACCACCTAGCTTTCCTGCTGGTTTCCTGTGGCCCTTGCCAAGTAGGTGCCCAGCACAGTTCTTCTTCCCTTCCTTGCCTGTCCCTTGGTCACCTGACACACGTAGAGCAAGACCCTGCTGCCCAGAGCACCAGTTTGCAGAAAAGATGAATACCAGCCGGAGAGTGAGAGTCCGGGCAGGAGGGGACAGTGCCAATGCAGACAAGACGGGGGGGGTCACAGAGGACTGGCGGGCAGGCAAGGCTTACTATGGCTGTCCTGGGTCCCCATTTGAAAGACAGAGTAGGGAGAAGGCTTTTTTGAACCTTGTAGTACTTCCAAGAATTAACAGGTAATGCAGGATAAGCACAGCACTCAGCACATGAGACATGCAAGAGCGCACTTAACATGTCAGAGCGGCCAGGCGGCAAACTATTTCTCCAGACAACCCCACCGAGGATGTCCTCCCTTCTGTAGGTAAGTCTGTTTCCTTTTTCTGTGGCACACTCTCGGGGAGCATGCGGTAGTGGACTGAACGGTGCCCGCAAAGGCATGTCAACACCCTTATTCCTACTGTCTGTGCTATATTCTCATTTGCAAAGAGTCTGTGCAGAAGTCACGAAGTTGTGGCTCTTGAGATGAGATCAGCCTAGATTCCTTAGGCCAGCCCTAAATCCAGTACGCAGTGTCCTTAGAAAAGCAGAAGCAGAGGCACACCCAGAGGAGACTAGCAGAGAGGGGGCTGGAGCCATCAGCCAGGTGGCCTTGAAGAGGACAGAACACAGAAAAGCCTCCCCCGTGCAAGGAGTGTGGTCCTGCTCTGGCTTCATTTAGACTTTCGGTTATCCTGCCTGGTGGGGAACAAACTCCTATTGTTTTACGATACCTAGTTTGGGTGTGCTGGCATCACGGCTGCAGAAAACTAATAGGCATGCTAGTGCTCAGCCGCCCTAAACTCAGAAGATGTGCAGTCCATGACCACCAAATCTCAAACACTGCTAAACAGTCCAACGCCAACCACTCCCCCCATCAACAGCAAGCGCAAGCTGTAGTGGGAAGCAAACATGAGAACTGAAGGCTGTCCCCAAGTCTGTCTTCCTCAGGCCCATGTATATACCCCCTATGTATGTTCAAATCCAAGGCCCGAGGCTGCCCGCTCACAACCTGTCCCATGGAGCCAGGAGGCCCGCTTCTCTCCTTTCTGATGTCCTGTGGCATTTCTGTGCCTTATCTCTCTAGGCCCTCACCTGGCTACTTTATGGACCCCAGGGCTCTGTCTCACTCTGGTCTGGGCATTCATCTTGTTTGCCTTCAGGGCCTCCCTGAGTACCTCGGCTGGAGGACGTTGCTCCTGGACATTAACATTTGCCACCTTCCTTCCTTCCTTCCTTCCTTCCTTCCTTCCTTCCTTCCTTCCTTCCTTCCTTCCTTCCTACCTTCCCTCCCTCCCTCCCTCCTTCCTTCCTTTGTTCCTTCCTTCTTCCTTCCTTCCTTCCTTCCTTCTTCCCTCTCTCCCTCCCTCCCTCCCTCCCTCCCTCTTTCTTTCTTTCTTTTTTTGGTTTTTTGAAACAGAGTTTCTCTGTGTAGTTTTGGTGCCTGTCCTGGAGCTCACTCTGTAGACCAGGCTGGCCTCGAACTCACAGAGATCCGCCTGGCTCTGACTCCCGAGTGCTAGGATTAAAGGCATGCGCCACCACCACTCAGCTTAGCATTTGCTATCTTTACATCTAGAAATGGTGGCAAAGGAACTTGATTGTAGATTAAAAGATGTTTCTAAAACACATTTTTCTCTAGTTATTTAATTGTTTGCTTCTTGGGGCAGGTACTAAATCTTTTGAGCCCTTCCAAGTGTTATTTGACTGCAAGGCCAAGGCCTGCCCCCCTTGGCCTGCAGCCGGCTCCCTTGGTAGGACATTGGAGATGGAGGAAACATTTTGAACATTTGAAGTTCAGTTCTCAGCAGACTCGGACCCACAGCTTCTCCCTCAGATGATAGCTCTGACTGCTGACTCAGAAGGGCTTTCTGAATTCAACTAGCTGGAAAACACATTATTTATCTCCCAAGAAGAAGAGCGTTAAAGAGGCATTCTTTCCACCAATGAGCTGTCTTTTCACAGCACAACAATAATGGGATTCAGGATAAGAACCTGAAAGTGGGAGGGATAAAAATAGAAGCAATCTCAGATACCATCGCCTGTTCAAAGCCCTGATGATAGGAAAGAGTATGACAGACAAGCAGGTGAGCAGGAGCCAATCTGCAGCAGAGTGGCTAAAGGGTGTTTGCAGCTTCTTAGAGCATAACCAGGACAATTATGACAGCAAGTCCTAGGCCAAGTGCCTTGCCAGCACTGGAGAGGCTGGGGATGGAACTGGAGGCCGTGCACATACCAGGCAAGTGTGCTCACACTAGCCATAGCCCGAAAGGTGGGCGTGATCATCATTCCCATTTTAGAGTTGGTTACACCGAGGTCGGAGAGGTGAATGATTCCCCCAATTCTACAGCTCCAGTATTGGTCTAAGAAGACCAATATGCATGACTAAGGCCTGTGATGCCAAGGTGTATTCTCAGTGGTGTTTGTTTTATTTTGCTTTTTGTTTTGTTTTGCTTTTTAAACCTGGCTGTCCATTCAGGCAATTTTACCAGGTCTAGGGCACAAAAGGGTGCGGTTTAATACAAGTCGGTCCCACAGGTCCCAGCTCTGTCTCTGAGCACTGTGTCAAGACCAACATAGGCCTAGAAAGGAATCATCTAGTTCCAGGCCTCCTCCTCCTCCTCTTCCTTTCTTCACAGATGATGAAATGAAGAGCAATGGACATAGAAAGAATGACTGATGCCACCTGGACAGTCAGAGGCAAGGTACAGTTGCTGCGGTTGTGTCCTTTTGTGTCCTTTTAGTTTCCTAAAGGATAGAGTAGTCAGGACCCAGCGGTATTCTCGAGGTGAAGTGCCCATAATGATGTCACTCCCACTGGCTACCATGTGCCACACCCTCTAACTCTACAATGGATTTACTGAGGTGCTATTTCAAGTCTGGTATCCTGTCGGGAGTGGGAGGAATAAAACAGAGGGAGAGAGCAAGAGAAAAACCTTGAGATACAGTGGCTGAGTTGTAAAGTGGCCACTGGCATAACAGGGGCGCACGGCTTTGCTCCACACTCCTTCATGAGTGCCCCCTAGACGGCAGATGACACTCAGGCTACAGAGCAACGGTTTTAGTTGGCGCACAAGACTCGTCTCTACTATCTTATTCTCCCAAACCCCCCTCCCTCACTGCCCATCTGTCTAGTTCAACTACTCCAGTTTAACTTCCTGTGCCTGATGCACACAGGAACAGTCAAAATGCTTTAACAGGGCAGGAGGGGTCAAAAGAACCCAACACCTTTCATTGAAAACACTGACCCGAAATACCAACCAGGAAAGCAAAAGTACCAAAACGCTGCAGGC